CGAAGGCAGCTGAGCGTGTTCGATGGCAAACCGCATCGGAGATCCTCGCGGGACCGCGGCCGCGCAGTGGCACCCGGACGCCATCCTCGCTTCTATCCCCTGCTCCTCTTCCCTCCTCTGCTGTCCACTCCTTCCTCCTCGCCCCCCATCCTTCCTCCCCCTCCCTCCTCCCCCCCGCTCCCCTCCTCCCCCCTCCTCCTCGCTCCTCCTGCCTCCCCCCGCCCCCTGGGCAACGACGACAGCAGTAAGAGGCGATGCGCTTTGAACGCGAGGTGCAGCGATGACCCTGGCCTGCCCAGGCGGGGGCTTGGGGGGGGCAGCGGGGCGGGGAGGGGCGTGCGAGGGGCCTCGGACAGGGGGCCAAAGTACTCTCGTGAAAAGGGCCCGCTAGCATGCACCCGTCCCGCACCAGTCGCGAACACCAGAAACATGAAGATAGCGGGGGCGGTGTCTAAACGAGCAGCAGGGTCAAACCATGCGCCCCCGCGATGTTGTCTCATTACATCGTGTGCCATTCTAGCTACGAGGATTCAGACGCGGCCTTGCTCAGAGAACGCGTCGTCTAGAGTACGATGGGCCTTGACCTGGGATCGAGAAATCCGGGGCCCCGGCGCGACGCGGCCCCGCGCCCTCCAGTAGTGGCTGAAGAAGGTGGCACCCTTCAAGATTTAGGCGCGCTGCGCGACTCCTCGGAAATGAGCCATGCAATCCATTGCCAATTCTAAGGATCATTCGAGAGCGCGACCTTAATGGCGCATCACTTCGCGCGAGGACAAGGGCCATGCCAGACGACCGCTCCTGAACGCTAATGCGCGCGCGCCCCAAACCTGTTCGCTTCGCCCGAGCACGAAGCCGGCCGTCACGAAGCCCGCCCAATCACCAAACTGCAACATGGGCACCGCGACGGTGAAAAACTCGCGCGCAATGGGCACCCTCCGAGGAAGACAAAGATCATCTCGCGCCGGACGGCGCGCTCAACTTTCGCCCCCCCCCCTTCGACGCCACCCCCATGTGGATCTGCATGATATCACGCTGTCGCCAAGTTCTGGGGCTCTTGGCGGGCCCAGCGGAGCGCGGCCTGCCCCGACCTGAGAATTTGACATCGCCGAACCATTGCCGTGGGCTGCTGGAGAGTCCAGCGTAGATCAGGGCCTACCCTGATCTGATTTAGACTTCACCTCTCCCTTGGGGCTTACTGCAGCGCGTCTGCCGGCCGATTCCGCGCCGGCAGGGAAGGGTCGGACATTTGGATGGCGACGTTCTTGACAGCACAGAGAAAGCAGGCACAGTGGCGGAGCATGTCGGAAACATGCGATGGAAAGTGCGACCTGCGACGCTCGCACCTCGTGAGACATTGGGGCCGCGATTTTTTTCTCAGACATGGAATTCTTCAATGCTAGAGGTGCGATCGGTGAATTTGAATTGTACATGGGGGGACCAGACGGCAATTCTCAATACTAGTGGAACACCCTCAGACATGACCCCAAAGGGTTGTAGAACGATCGCGGACCTGATAGATCAATGCTGGCACTAGAAACAAGTGACATAATATTGGCGCCCTGCCGGAGCGGCGAGCATTTGCAAGAAGAAAGGTTACGCGGACCAGTCAACCTTGTTACGGACGAAATTCCATGAGGCATGGGGCGAAGATATACTATCTGGGCCGCAATGCGGGTTCAGACAGAAGCGCGGCGCGACCGACGCCGTGCATGCAGCGCGCAGGCATATTGAGCTAGCGCGCGTTGCGCTCGGGGACAACATCCGACCGCTGGCTTCAGATTACAAGTAACCTCGCGACGCGATAGACATGAACGCCCTCCATGATGCACTCATGCGCTCACGATTTCTGGCGCGCTGCAGCATGTGCTGCAGCTCATGGTCGGGGGTGAACAGAACCCCCGCCCTGACGCGTCGATTGGTGAAGTGTCCGTTTTCGGTTCTCGAGAAGGCGCCGCGGCCGTCATTTTCCAAGCTTGCGCCCGCCAGGTTTGGGCCCGAGGTCGTTTTCGCTGAACCGCGTTTCAGCGAAGGGGGTTCTGTCCATCCCCGACATTAGCGGCGCGTGCGGGGCTCGCCACGTCTGCGTCGCAGATGGGAGCCGGAGGTCAGAAGCCAAGCTCCATAACTCAGGGATTTCACAGGGGTGTTCATAGTCGCCGCTTTTGTTCGTAATGGTCATGCCGGTATTGGTCAAGGGCGTGGAGAAGAAGTTGGGCACCGATATTCGGCGTTCAATATCTAATCGGGATATCTTAGAATGTCTATACTCAGACGTCACAGTGCTGGTTGGACGCCGCGAGCACCACTTATGAACGAACGTGCCTTGCCATATGCAAATCTGATACTGGAACTGATTTGGGATAGAAAGCCGCTCTTGCAGATCAAGTGTCAAATGCGCATGCCATACCTTGCTAGCACAATTATCGCGGTTACGTCGCGCATGACATATTTTTGAGTGGGCGTTCTTGTACGACAGCGGGGACATCAAACCAGAGCTGGGCTGGAGACTGGGCGCAGCATGTGGAGAGTTTCGCAGATATGCGAATTTGTGGAAACACGCTGCGGTGAGACAGATAAGAAAGCTGAAAGTGCTCGCTGCTTTCATCACGCGCGAAGTATATGTTGATGAAGGTTGGTCATGGTTCAACAAAGCTGAACGGAGCAAGCCTGGTGCTTGGGGCTTGTTTTGGGCAGCGCGCACCCTTGCATATCTAGAAAATCAAGCGACCATGTCTTTCAAAGTCATACTTGTCGCAGTTGCGACGACCGGAACTTTATATTGTTTGGGATCATCTGCTGATCGCATGACACGGATGCTTTGCGACAGCGTATTTTTCAGCCGAGAAGCCCCCGACCAACGACCGACTCTTGCAAGCGACCGTTTGCAAGACCCAGATTGGGCAAAGGACTTACTATGTGTCGTTGCCCTTCTGTCCAGCGCTTGTACGACGCCGCGCGGGACCAGGCAAGATGGCGACTATGATGTATTGGCGTCGCTTTCGGCAATGGTGAAACGAGTTGCGTCAGTGTTGTTGTCTTTCCCCCCCGCCTCTCTTCCGTCTCCTCCCGTCTCTTTTGCTTTACAGTCGTGAGGTGCTCAGTGTTTCGCTTCGCGGTCATATTGCGCTTTGGTATTCTGCCTCGCAGTCGTGATGCGCCCCTCTTCTCATTCATGCGTGGTTTTTTTCTGCCCATGCGCCAAACGTTGCTCGGCTTTTCGATGTGATTCCACTCCACGCGTCCCTGGGGTCTGAAATCCGAGAATGTCGCCACGTTCAGTTATTGCGTTCCTGGGGTGTTTGCGTAGTGAGGGCCTGGGCGGTCCCGAGTGAGACCTCGCCGAACCTGGGGCTGACGAGCTGCAAGATAGCCGCCACTTTCGCGGGCTTTGGGGACGTCCAGTGTGGTGTGAGCCTACCTAGATCTGAAGTTGGCCTCGCCGTCCTTCAGGGTTGCGAACCCCTATCGTGGGTTGTTGGGGGGTCCAACGCAGCGCGGGCCTACCCAGATCTTAATTGTACTTCGCCGTCCTTGGGGAATGCGAGCCACTCTTCTGGGTTGCTGGAGGAGTGTCCAACGAAAGCCAGGGCCGAACCTGATCTGAATTGGATCTCGCCGTCCCTGGGGGCTTCGAGCCACTTTCGGAAGTTCCGTGGGTGTTCAGCGTAGATAATATTTCACCCGGATCTGAGTTCGGCCACGCCCTTCCTGAGAACCACTTTCGTGATTTCTGTGGTGTCCAGCGTAGATCAGGACCCAGATCCGAGTTAGGCCTCGCTGTTCCTGGGGGATGCGAACCACTTTCTAGTGCTGCTGGGGCGTCCAACATATATCAGAATCGTGTTTCCTCGCTGTCCATGGGGGCTGCGAACCACTTTCGTGGGCTGCTGGGTTGTTAAGCCTAGATCAGGGCCTGCACAGGTTTAGATTAGGCCTCGCCGCCCCTGGGGTCTGCGACCTGCGAGACTGTCGCCACGTTCGTGGGCTTTTGGGGAGGGTCCAGCGTGCGGTTCTTGCCCTCCCGCCTCCCTACATGTTCCGTCCTCCGCCCCCTTCCTCCAGGCCTCCGCGTCCTTTTTCTCGACTCGTGCTCCAAGGGCTGGCGGTGTTCTCTTTCGCGCGTTCACTTTTCTGTGAGCCTCACCCTGTCCTGATTCACGTGCCCCATCTCCTGCCACGGTCCCACCTGCTTCCAAATCGGCTCCTCTCTTCTTCACTGTCCACCTACATTCGCTTCATGCCTGCTCGTGGGCATCGTTCCTGGTCTTTTTTTGTCATTGTCATGCCATGTCGTAGGTCATCACCTCAGTCATCTCTCTTCCGCGAGTCGTGCAATGCGCGAGCCCCCCGTTGAATTTTCACCGCAAAGCATGTCCCTTGTAACGTCATCATCCCTGCTCATTATCTTGGTCGCTTGGAGAGCATGGGTTGATGCGTCGCGTGTTTTTTTGTTTTGTTTCCAGATGTCTCCGGGGACCTCTAGAGACGTCTGGAGACCCTTGGAGCCTTACCTGGGACGTCGGTCGTCGTCGTCGTCATCGTCGTCGCTCCGCCATGCTTGTGCAGGTCCAGGGACACAGTTCCAGAGTGCAGGACCAAATCCTTTCAGAGCCCCTTCCCCTCATGCTGTCATGCTTCCTTCGTCGCTCCTCCTCCCCCCGGCCCCGAGCGCGGCCGCTCTACTGTGGCGAAAGGGGTGTCTGCTCTGCCCTGTTTCTGTTCTTCCTTGCTCCTCCCCGCCCCCCCCCTCGCCCTTTGAGCTTCCCGCTCTGCACCTCGCGCGGAGCGAAGCGCCAAGGTGGGGCCGCGAGCCCGCAGGGTCCGAGACAGTGCAGCCCTGGAGCTATCATCGAGCCCTCATAGGGGCCTCGCAACTCTCCCTGGGGCCCTCAAGGAAGGCCTCGATAGAAGATTCCTGGCGACGACGACGACCCAGTCACCCCATCGATCCAAGCCCCAAGGTTCCCGACCTGGCCTCTCCTCCCTCTTGGCTGACCAAGGGCGCGCAGGACGGCGGCGAGGCAGAGGGCCGAGAAGCAGCAGCGGCGCCAGCAGGATCGCGAGAGGCTGGAGGAGCTGCGCCGGCAACAGAACGAGCTGCGCCAGCGGCACCAGGAGCTGAAGCAGCAGCAGGCGGCTCGAGGGGCAGTAAGCTTTTGCCGCCCCCCGCAATCCGAGGGCCCGCCCATCCATAACTGGTCCCCAGGCGACCTTCCTGGATCGGGGAGGCGTAGGAGCATGCGGTGGGCCGAAGGATAGCTAGACTAAGTGAACATAGAGGTTGGCCAGCGTGGACGCCAACACAGTGAGTCATTGCATCGTGGAGGTGGAATGTATGCGGAGTGCGCTGTAAGCTATGTTGTGTTCTCTGTGCTGTGTAAGCTATGTGGTGCGGATGGTGTGAATTACAGTCAACCACGACAGCAAGGATGGGGCAACCTTCCAAGGCTGCCCTTGCATCCTTGCCCCTTCGGCATTCGGCATCCTTCAGCATTCTGCTGCGCTCCGCACGGAAAGCGCCAACATGGCGTTCCGAGGCCCTTGCATCCTTACCGCGCACCCCTACAGTCGGCCCTGATTAGTAGGTCGACCCTGCCAAAGCAGGGGTGCCCTTGTGTCCTGCGTCTCGCGACCCCTGCACCCCCCACATTCCCATGGCAACGTGGCCCTCGCAGGGATCTCTTGCGTTCTCTCGCGTGTCCTGTGCAGGCAAGTCCGACTGTGCTGTCCCGGCCGAGGGTGAGCTGTGCAGGCTGTCGGGGGCAGAAAAAAGGTGGGTGATGACTAGGGGGGGGTGGACATCATGGCGTGGGCCATGATATTTCCCCAGATTTCATGGCGCCTCTTCTCATTCCATGACGTCCCTGGCCCCCCCGCTGGGCCGCGCAGATGCCGCCGGCCATGATTTGCACCCCCCCCCTCCCGAGGCTGCGCGCTGCCCACCCAGGGCGCGGGGCGCCCGCGAGCGCCACGCGAGGCGCCCCGCGGGCCGGGGCCCCCCTCGGCGAGACCTTTTGGCGGGCGGCCCCCCCAGGGGTACGGCGCGCGCCCGCGAGCGCCCACGATGGGGCGCCCACGGGCGGGCGCCGGGGGCGGGCGCGGGGCACCCACCGGGTGGGCACGGGGCGCCCACGAGGCGACGCTTCCGCTGAAGGAGGAGGGGGAGGGGGAGAGGGAGGAGGAGGAGGAGGGGGAGGAGGGAGGAGGAGGAGGAGGAGGAGGAGGAGGAGGAGGAGGAGGAGGAGGAGGAGAGGAGGAGGAGGAGGAGGAGGAGGAGGAGGGAGGAGGAGGAGGAGGAGGAGGAGGAGGAGGAGGAGGAGGAGGAGGAGGAGGAGGAGGAGGGAGGAGGAGGAGGAGGAGGAGGAGGAGGAGGAGGAGGAGGAGGAGGAGGCGGAGGAGGAGGAGGAGGAGGAGGAGGAGGAGGAGGAGGAGGAGGAGGAGGAGGAGGAGGAGGAGGAGGAGGAGGAGGAGGAGGAGGAGGAGGAGGAGGAGGAGGAGGAGGAGGAGGAGGAGGAGGAGGAGGAGGAGGAGGAGGAGGAGGAGGAGGAGGAGGAGGAGGAGGAGGAGGAGGAGGAGGAGGAGGAGGAGGAGGAGGAGGAGGAGGAGGAGAGGGGGAGGGGAGGGAGGGGAGGGGGAGGGGGAGGGGGGAGGGGGAGGGGGAGAGGGGGGGGAGGGGGAGGGGGAGGAGGACAAGCCAGGTGCTCTCGCGTCGTATCTGACATCCTACCCCTCCCTCCCATCCCTTACCATGGCGCAGATCCCCTCTCTACGCGCTCAGTCGGATGTCGAGCAGGGCAATGATCCCGAAAGGGTACGCGATGCATTGTAGAGCACGGCATGGCATGGCGTAGAAGAGCACCGCAAAGCGTAGTATCAACCTAGCATTGCATTGCATGCCGTGGCATGGCACGGGAAATGACGCCAGCGCTGCAGCGGGCGCACGAGTTGAAACGAGCGGAGGCGCGGAAATGAGGCCAGCGCTGCAGCGGGAGCACGATTCGGAACGAGCGGAAGCACGGAAATGAGGCCAGCGCTGCAGCGGGAGCACGATTCGGAACAAGCGGGGCCCGAAAATGAAGCCGGCGCCTCAGCGAGAGCAGCATTTTTTTTTTCAAAATGCTGGCGAAAACCCAACTCTGGGGAAACCTGTTGTGTAAAAATCAGTACGCGGGAGGGGTCGGCCACTTTCAAACCGTCATCAGGGGAAGAGGGAGAGTAGTATTCATATTAAGTAATTGTGGAGGAGGAGGAGAGGGGAGGAGGAGGAGAGGAGGAGGAGGAGGGGAGGAGGAGGGGAGAGGAGAGGAGGAGGAGGAGGAGGAGGAGAGGACGAGGAGGAGGAGGGGGAGGAGGCGACCGTTCGGCGGGCCCGCCCCGGGCACCGGGCGCCAAGGGTTGGGAGGTCCCCGGCGGGCCCGGTGAGCTCTGCTGTCACGTGGAAGCGGCAAGCGAGAGCACCCGAGCGCAGGCGCCGTTTATCAGGAGGAGGGGGAGGAGGAGAGGAGGAGGGAGGAGGAGGAGGAGGAGGAGGAGGAGGAGGGAGGAGGAGGAGGAGGAGGAGGAGGAGGGCGAGAAGGGAAGCGCTCGTCGCGCGCCGCGGGGTGCGGTGTGTGAGAGCAGGCGCCTCTCCCTGCTGTCAAGGAGCTGGGCGAGGACCACGTTGGGGCGGTCTGGGGGCCGGCCCCTCGATGTCCGTCGGGGGGCCTATGGTCAGGAGGGGAAAAAACACACAGACACAATTAATCGTCGACTTCCCAGGAAAATATCGGAAAATATGGGAATTGGGCGGGACGGCAAAAAAACCCAGAAGATATTGGGAAATATGGGGAACATTTTATTTGTGTGTATTTATTTGTGTGTCCTGGGGCCCCTTCAGTGAAAGCGACAAGCGAGAGCACCCGAGCGCAGGCGCCGTTTAGGAAGGTTTTAGGGGTCCGCGCGGATTCTTTGCATCGGCGCTGGAGTCCGCGCGGAGTTCTTGGGTCGGCGCTGGACCCCCCCTAGCGCGCGGAGCGCACCGCGTGCGACGCCGTGGGCACCGCCCAGAAGGCCCAGGGCCGAGTCAAGGAATCCGCGGGGACCTCCGGCAGTTTGAGCGTATGCCTGTTTTCTTCTTCCCCTGATCATTGGATACTGGAGTGTTCCAGTCGCGACCGAGGGGTAACGATCGGTCGCGTTTGGTCACGACCGATTTTTGAACCAGTCGCGATCGATTTGGAGTGCCGATCGATCGTTACCGATCGCGGCCACACACATTCGGTATCCAACGATCTGAGTCTAGTGGAAGACAGGGGGCAGGCGTCAATCCCAAGCTCGGGATCAGCCTGGACGGTCATAGAGGTGCCTCGTGTTGATTTCTGGGGGATATCTTGAGGCGGTGCCGGGCAATTTTGTATGCCTCTCGGGCTCAAATGGCTCACAGGGTATTTTCATATGTGATGGCAGAGCCATCTTGTCTCGAGAGCCTTCGCGATGCCGATGGCCGTGAGCTCTGCTCTCATGCGATTTGGGGCCGTCGCTGCCGTTGGGGCAAACGTTGCTCATATTCTCACGCCGTTCCACCCGATGTCCTTGAAGCCCATCGCGAGCAGTCTATACAACAAACTCAAGATGTAACTGATCGCTTGGCCATGAGCATGCCAGACCCCGAGAGGCCCAAGTGGCTCAAGGATATCCAGGCCCACGCTAGTTCGACGGACTATGATGTCACTGTGTGGCCCCTGGCCGAAGCACTCCGGGATGTTTTCGGGCTTTCGCCGGACGAGAATTTCGGAGACCTGCACAGGAATCGGCGGTGGACAGAACCCCCAACAGTGACACGTCGATTCGTGAATTGTCCGTTTTCGGTTCTCGAGAGGGCGCCGTGGCCGTTATTTTCCAGGCTTGCGCCCGCCAGGTTTGGGCCTCAGGTCGTTTTCACTAAACCACGTTTTGCTAAAGGGGGGTCTGTCCATCCCCGAAGGAAAGAGCTGAGTGGAGATCCTCCTCTGTGCCCAACACTGCTTCAGGCATATGGTGCAGCGCGCGGGGCGGACGCACTGCCCGAGGCATGGCGCAGGCTTCTTGGACAGGGAAAGGCTCACCGAGATATGATGATGAAGTCACCTGCGTTTCAAAGGTTTCTTGCTCTGTATGACAAGTTCTGCGAGAGCGTCATAGTACCCCGCACGGGTGATACCACTGCCTATGTGCAACGGCCTCCCACACTTCGCGTGCACTTGGCTGGCCAGCCACGGGCGAAAGGAAAGATAGGCATGCACAAGGATGGTGATTACCCTGGCCATAGCGTCGCTGAGATCAATTTCTGGGTGCCACTTGCTGCGTGCGGCAGCAACAATAGTCTATTCGTAGAGTCTGAGGAAGGTCGCAGCGATTTCAAGGCGCTGGAGATGCAATATGGAGAACTGTTCAGATTCCATGGTTACAGCTGCCGTCACCTTACGCAGGCCAATGACACGGGTATTACGCGAGTCTCTTTTGATTTGCGCGCAGTACCTGCGTCTTGTTGCCCACGTGCTGGTTTGCAAGGCCCTCGTCGCGGCGCCAGGGGCTTGCGCATGGGCGATTACAGGGCAGTGCTCGTTCAAGCATCTCCGCCATGACGAGCTTTGAGTTGCTATAGCCACACCACGCCCCGTAGCCGAGGACACCAAAATGGGTGGAGCAGAGCCTAGCAGTATCAAACAGCAAACAGTCTGAGGGGCCGCGGGTTCCCGTTTAGAGCCATCTTGTATTGGGGCGATATTGATTAGCCTCGTTCTGTCGAAACCATGGAAGCATCTTGAGACGCTCTTGGGGCCGTCTTGGAGCTCTGAAACTCTTGTGTTAATATGCAGCAGCGTGTTGTAAAGAGGCATCGCTTCCTATCACCACCACCTCTGCTATCGTACCCTTCTTATTTATATTCCCAAGCATGAGATGCTATCGTACTCTTCTCATGTCTATTCCCAGGACATGCTGGAGGCCATGTCGAGCCAGCTTGCGCCATCTTGGAGAACATCTCATGGTATCCTGGCCATCTTGGAACCTTTGTGGCCCGACAAACCTCCCAAGGATTTCCCTGAAACGTCCAAACCTTTCAACCCCTATATTGTCCTCCAAGTAATCAGGTGAAGAGAAATGGGAGTCCCTAT